CGCGATGTGGCTCATGGGGTCACGAAGAGTCGGACACGACTTAACGACTGAACAACAACACAGTGAGCCTTTCTCCTCTGATGTACTGATCTTTACCCATCCTTGGGTTGGTAGCAAACTATACAGGCATACAATTAATTCTCTGGGGTTTTTTTTAGTTATTTTAATCCTACCTTTATTATTTTTTATAAAAAATATTTATTTTTTAAAAATAACTGAATCGTAATACCTTTATTATGTTTTATAAATAACTCAAGGCAGCAAAGAAACCTAGTACTCCTATTTTCCCCACAACAACAATCTTGTGAGGTGGGCTGGGCTGAGAGAGAGAGACTGGTCCAAAGTCATCCAGCCGGCTTTCATGCCTAAGGCAGGACTAGAACTCACCGTCTCCCGGATTCTAGCCTGGTGCCTTCGCCACTAGACCAAGCTGGCTCTGTTCCCCCTGCCAATCCCTATCCAGGCTCTACCGCAACATTTCTCAACCTTGGCAACTTGAAGACACGTGGCTATACTGAGTGTTTTGATGGATGTGACTACCTCGGCTGTGAGTTGTATGTATTTTATGGCGTTTTATATGCTTTTTATATTGCTTTTTGTTTTAACATTGTTGTATTTTTTTCACTTTTTTTATATTTGTTTCTAACGGTTTGTAAGCTGCCCAGAGTCGATAGATAGATAGATAGATAGATAGATAGATAGATAGATAGATAGATAGATAGATAAGCAGCTATATACATTTCTGTGAGTTGTATGTATTTTATGGCGTTTTATATGCTTTTTATATTGCTTTTTGTTTTAACTTTGTTGTATTTTTTTCCCTTTTTTTATATTTGTTTCTAACGGTTTGTAAGCTGCCCAGAGTCGATAGATAGATAGATAGATAGATAGATAGATAGATAGATAGATAGATAGATAGATAAGCAGCTATATACATTTCAATGATTAATTAATTAATAAATAAGCAAACATAGCAGTGGGGTAAGAGCAAGCATGCTCTATATTCAAAATATTCTGTTTCAAAATGAGTGGTATTCTTTTTAGACTGAATGCAACCAATTCATGCCTTGAATTCATGGAGGTTCAACCAATAACCTAGTTGCAATGTGTGTGGATCCAGAAATACGTTCCTTAGGGCTAGTTTTGGATTGTGTATTCATAAACACAAGTTTAGGGGTTCAGAGAAGTCTCTATAGCACTGTTTCTCAACCTTGGCCACTTGAAGATGTGTGGACTTCAACTCCCAGAATTC